AGAGTCCCAGAAAACTCTGGTCGCGTTTTGCGGCTACTATTGAATATTGGGTCTCATTATATATACACACCGGGCTCTTGTTGTGCTATTACAATACAAAGGAAATGTGCTCACTAATCATTGCTTATTATATAAGATACAAAAAATGCCGATGAAAGACGCTTGTGTTCTGGGCATCGTCTTTCAGCACTCTGCTGCTCATTGATCTCGCAAACAGAAATGATCCGATTATGGATGCACTTTAACCTTAGCACTTCAGCTGTATCATCCGATGCATGACCTGTTTTCAATAATAAGTTTTCATACATATCAACGCAATCATAGCAACTTCCTTAACGTTCCACATTAGTCGACCGCACCGTGTAAAACGAATCGGCCATTTTATACACTAGTAGTTAGCAGCAAGGTTATTTGTTTAATTGAGCTCAGTAAAAAAAATAAAAATAATCTCATCCTTGTCTCCCCCATACCCTTTCCACCAGCCTCACATTCATTACCTCCAGGCCCCACTCCTCTCAACCCTTTTCTTATGAGAAAAAAAGAAAGTAGCAACTACCACAAAAGCTAATGACAAAGTATTTTCTTGGTATTGATTAGGGCAAAACCGTATAACTCAAGTATAACTTGGAATGCAACGGAGGGAATACACCCATAGAACTAATTAAGCAACTTGTTATTGTACTCTTATATGGATCTTGATCGCATTGTTTAAACTCTATTCCAGAGCGTGATAACTGTAAGAGTGTTATAACTTGAAGAGAGAAAGGCACCCCCCCCCCAAATAAACAACAACCCCCCCCAAACCCCCCCCCCAAAAAAAAAAAACAACTAGGTAGGATGGTAGATGATTTAAAGACTCCGTGCCGATCTTACCTGGTTTAGCCAGCAATTCGTTGTTAAAATCTGGTTTTTCTCGTCCTGAGGATAAACAAGATGGAAATAGTATAGCTGTATTATAAAGTATTTCAGGTTTCTACTTTTGTTTCATTTTTTTTACATTTCATTTGTTCCCGTCACCCATTCCTTTCGTCTTCACTTCACCTACTTTTCTACACATCCTCGTACTGTTTTACATAACCCATGATTAAATATTTAACTATTCGGCCATTTGTTTACTCGTATTACGTGGCTAGGACATTGACGTACATAAAGGCGACCACAAAACAATTTCTTCAATGAAAGTTGTTACATATAATCAGAAAGAAAAGCCTATCACGTGGCCAATTCATTCTGTCATCTCAAACGATTATGTTCTTTATTACTGAACTGGTAAGTATAATTGAATGACCTCTTGCCCAGTTAGCTGTAACCAGGTTAGGGATGATAGATTGTGACCTTGTATGATTCAATGGAGAGGTGCAGTCTAACATGAATCGAAGTACTCAACGAGGGCAATATAATGGGCTCTTAGTTGTCGTTTCTCCTTCCGAAAGCTTTGTTCTGTTTGTTTGAGTAAAGAGGAGAGCATAAGCGCAAAAACGTCATTTAGAACAAAGAACACGCAGGACACAAAGCACCACAGAGACAGGAAAAAGTAGGATCTTTACGTGGCACACTCAGGCACCCATTTTTGTTTATTCGTAGGACACACGTTCAATTTATCTAATACTGATCAAAGACAAAAAAGCCTTGACCTGACAAAAAAGTAACAGGAAGCAGGCCTGCGTATACGCGTGATCTAGTCTTAGCTTCAGATACGGTGAATAACAAATAAAGGGCAGAATCCCACTGGGTTCCATTATTTTTACATAGTGTACTTTGCTACTGTTTGCTGGAGTTGGTACGTATAGAAATTGACAATAAAAAGAAGCGCCATTTGCGCTCCGAAACAGAAGAAAATGTCTGGCAAGGAATAGACGATGGGGAACCTCAAAGCAGATGCTTACTTTAGGTTTCGCCTCTGACGTTCTACTCGTTTGTTTGTTTTACTGAACATTTAAAATTTTAATTTTAGGCAGAAAACGTACCCTCTTCACTCGTCCCAGATGCCCTTTGACTATTTTCTTTGAAGAACCAGCAAATATTAATTGACAAACGTATCGACCAACTACCAGATAGCCAGCAGGCCACTCACTCAAGCAATCGATGTATTCACTGATTAGCCAACATATCAATTAGTTTAACATTCAAATGAAACGATTGTCTTTAAGCCTGTGGGCATTTTGTCATAATAATCGAGAGAGCATGATGTCGAATGCAGTATGAGAATGCTTTTATTTATGTAAAAACACAATCCGTTACTCCCGTACGCTGTTTCAATTCGATAAAGGTTGCATAATGAAGTTCCTGATGTGAAAAATTCAGTTCAAGTATGAATGCAAACTATCATCCAACTGAGAGCAGTTTTTAAAGTAAGATAGAATAGTTCTCCTTTCAAACACTCAACGTGTGCACATATTCTTTCATCTTTACGTTCCTGAGAAGAAAAAAAAGAAAATAGTAGAAAATTGAAATATTTTTCATATAATTAAAAGTATTTATAAATTAAATGATACCCATA